CTTTAGTACTGTACATTTAGTTCTGGAACTAAAGCGGTGCGAAAGGCCCTATTATTAGATACTAGTACTTATTTTTTAGATACTAGTACTTATTTTTTAGATACTAGTACTTATTTTTTAGATACTAGTACTTATTTTTTAGATACTAGTACTTATTTTTTAGATACTAGTACTTATTTTTTAGATACTAGTGCTTATTTATTATAAACTAGTTCTCATTCATTAGATACTACCTATTAAATAGATACTAGTACTTATTCAATAGATACTAGTACACATTTATTAGATACTAGTATTTATTCTAAATGTTACTACTAGTAAGATTATTTATTTTACTAGTAAATTTTTTAAATGAACTCTACTGTAGCCATTTAGACTAGTCATAACATAAGACGAGTAAAAAAGCAGATCTGACTAGTAAGATAAGAATACTTGGTTGCACCTTATTTTACAGTACGCGCACTTGCATGTACTTACAGTGTACCTACCTAAGAAAGTACTGGTAATATAAGGTAACTACATGGGGTAGGGTTAGGTTTAGGGGTAGGTTCAGGGTTAGTACCTAGTTTTTACCTAGTTATTGTAATTACATAGTACATAGTATAAACATGAGTAACAGGACTGTAAAATAAAGTGCTACCAATAAAGGTTTGTATACGTTTTATTTCATTTATAAAGTCTTTACTGTGCTGTAAATTATATTATTTTTGCGCAACACAACATAAGGACTAGGTGTCAGTCAGCTGCGTCAGCAGCGGTCGGTCGCTTCGCATAATGGAAATGCCTTTTGCTTTGCATAACATAAATTGATTTTATTCATTATAATACTGAGTTTAATTTAATTTGATGTTAAAATATGTTCTCTAATCTCAGTACTGTTTGATTATGGGCAGGTTATAGAGTCAGTCACGGCATCTTTCAGCTCTGAGTGAAACGCGAGGCCGCGGTCTGAAGTTCGCAGTTCCCCCCGCGAACAGCAGCCCTTCACCGGCTCAGATTTCGGTGACACACCGGCATGTGAATTAGCACTATTTCGGTAAAAAGCGATTACAGAGAACAGTTGGATACACTTAAATTAAAATGCTTCTTTTAAATATTAAATTTTTTATTTCTAAAATGCTCGTTAAACGAGTTAAAATATATGTAATATTGCAAACTATGCTGTATTCACCCAAATAAATTCAATTTGTATTTTGTCCATGTGTTCTTGCTTAATAAATGTTTATCTTTTGATTATTGCTGTAGCCTCTAGTAATTCTGTGTGTGATTTTTAATTTCCAGCCCATTTTAAGGCAGCAATATAATCATTTTTAAACAATAGTTGACTTAAATAAAACAACCCAGCATGTTTGGTAAAAACATTAACCCAACCAGCTGGTTCAAAATAACCCAGCATGTGTTCTGTCCAATATTTACCCAACGCTGGGTTGCCAAATAACCCAAGTTTTGTTGTTTTTAACTCAGCATTTTTTTAGAGTGTAGCTTCTGCTAACTGTCGTACATGCGTTAATGAGAGAGTGGTGTTCCAGCGAATGACGTAGGACATAGCAAATGTGGCTTGAAAGACTCTCTGAGAGCTGTGCTTAATACATGTCTACACTACTGACAATAGACAATAGATCTTTTTTTACCTGTGAAATTTCAACAAAATTTCACTAATGTGACTGCACCAAGGCATTTTCACATGGCATTAAAATAGTATACTACTGTGGGAAAAGAAGCATAAAGGTGTGATCACATTAGGATTTTTGCAGGCAAAGAAGGTCCATTGCCCAATATTACACTGATTCGTCTGGGAAATTATTTTGCCTCATCATGCATCCCTCATAAGAATTTCTAGATCACAGATTCCTATTGAGACGACAGCATTTCTCCTGTGGAATTTAGCTGTACAAAGGAAAATGTGCCCTCACCTTAAAATAGGAAATAATTAATTTCACAATCTATAGCTTTGTTTATTTAACATTATATGTAACAATTCAAAAGTCATTATTGGCCGTATTTACATAGTAACTAAGCCAGCATTTGTCATAAATCAAATATGCTGGATGAGTTATGTTGGAATCACTGGTGGACCCATTTGTTCATAACAATGGCATCTAGCTGTAGGGGCTAACAGGGTCATGAATAAGTACTAGTATCTAATGAATAAGTACTAGTAACTTTACAAAAGACACTAGTACCTAAAGAATAAACACTAGTACCTAAAGAATAAGCACTAGTACCTAATGAATAAGTACTAGTACTTAATGGAAAATATACTAATATCTAAAGAATAAGTACTAGTACCATGAAAATAGATACTAGTATGGCTTATAGATTAAATGTTAAAACGGCTTTCCATATACAGTATCTGTTTTATCTATTATAGTGCACAAAAATCATCTGATGGAAATGCATTATACTGCACATGTGTTATGTAATGTACAACATGCCATCTAGAACATTTGTACAGCCCAGCAGTCATTATAATTTAATTAAATTGCAAAGAAACATATTGTGTAGCCGTGTTTTAGCTGAGGAAGCTGTCCTGGTTCATCAAAACTCATCAGTGAGGTGAATCTTATTATGATGGAGTGTCTTTATCTTCTCAGGTTCTTCCAGGTCTCATAGTAAGAAGAAGACCCCTGTGATTCATTCCAAGAATATGACTTTTCAGTTGTGCAAGGCTGTGCAAAAGTGCCTGTGTGAGTCAAGCAGCCTAAAGACCCTTCAGCTGCACGGTTTGCCACTGAGAGAGAGGGACCTCACGGCTCTCACAAAAGTGGAGTGAAATATTTAGACTCTCTCTTTGATATTGATTATATTGTTTATAATGTGTGAATGATTATATATTATAATGATTATATAATGTATAATGTGTGAATGTTTGTATGTGTGGATGGATGTATTTATTTTTTAAATTAATTTATTATAATTTTTTTGTGCTTTTTAATTTGCTTTAAGTGTTTTGTTTAAATTATTTATTTGTTTGTTTTAGTTGTTTTATTTCTGATGTTTTTTATGTATTTTATTTCTGTATTTATTTTATTATATATTATATTTTATTTTATATTAATGCCTCATTCATTTTTGTTTTAATGTTTTATTTATTTATTGTATTATTTATTTATTTTAATTAATTTATTTTTTATTGATTTATTTAATTTTTATTTCATTGAAAAAATTGTTTGATTTTTATTGTGTTTTTATTTAAATCCTTTTATGTATTATTTGAGAACTTGTTTAATTAACATCGTAATTTCCCTTAGGGTTTAGCTAAGAGTGTGTCATTGGAGTATCTGTCTTTAGCACACTGTCAAATCGCAGATCAAGGTTTGGAAGGTGAGTTAAAATCATCAGACAGATTATGACATTTAAAGGTGCAATAGGTGATTGTCTTCAGAAAATTTTTTTGTTATGCTGGTTGAAAGTCTCTTCACATCCCGATAGCAAGCATTAAGTTAAGTGGTCTAAATGTATTTATCTGTATTTATATATTCTGTGGAAGGCGTAGGACCAAGAAATGTTTGTCCAATCAAAACGCTCGGTCCGAGTGTTTTAATTGGCTTTCCTACCTGCCTGTCAACGTATGTATTAGCATACCTCTGCGCACCGGGTTTGCGCAGACAGGATACGTCATCAGCGCGAGAATGGCAGACAAACATCAACAACCCGATCTTCCTTCCTGGTATTGTAGTACTTTTAAAGTTTTCTCACCGGTGAATGACACATGATGTAGGCAGCCCAGCGGTTCCCAATTCCAGTCCCTGCGCCCCCCCCCGCTCTGCATATTTTGCGTGTCTCACTTAGTTAACACACCCGATTCAGATAACCAGCACGTTAGAAGAGAGCTATGTGCATGAACTGTGTTCTGATCGATATGATCCCTACACAGTGTTCATTGCTCCCTACACCCTGAGCGGGGGAAATCCGTTGAAGTTTACTTCACTTC